TGAGTCCCCACCAGGAATCGAACCCATGACCTCCTGAACACTGGGCAGGCACTCTATCCACTGAGCTACGAGAACTCATGAAGAGCAAGGTCATTTAACTGCGTTACATATTAACTCAGTTAAATGACCTTGCTCTCCATGAGTTCTCATAGCTCAGTGGATAGAGAGCCCGCCCGGTGTTCGAGAGGTCATGGGTTCGATTCCTGTCGGGGACTCAGATTTTTTCTTTGTCCAACACTCATGTCATGTTGATTAGTTCACTTTTCAGAGTACTGTACTTTTCTCTTAAAATTTATTTGATTTCCACAGTTTTCTTTTTCTCAAAGTTCCTCGTCATCATCAACTTAAATGAAACAATTTACACCACCTTTGCATTTAAAGACATAAAACAAAATCAGCACAAAAAAGAAACAAACAAACAAATAAAGAAAGGGAGTAATACATGAAAGGCCATCACAGTTATGTATGCAAAAGTAAAGCCTGAAAAAAAAAAAAGAAAAAAAAACTTAAAAGGGCTTTGAACTTGTGACCTGTGATGCTGCCCCAATGTTCTGCCTACTGAGCTATCAAGCCAACTGGGAGTTGGCAAGATCTCTGAAAGTTCATTTTCCTCAACAAAAATGAATAGAGGATAATTATATCATGTATCTGAACTGTTCTTTAAAAATATTTACTATTCATTGAAAGTTTTTTCCAGGCTTTGTTTTTTGCTACTGCTTAAAGGGCNAGCCCGCCCGGTGTTCGAGAGGTCATGGGTTCGATTCCTGTCGGGGACTCAGATTTTTTCTTTGTCCAACACTCATGTCATGTTGATTAGTTCACTTTTCAGAGTACTGTACTTTTCTCTTAAAATTTATTTGATTTCCACAGTTTTCTTTTTCTCAAAGTTCCTCGTCATCATCAACTTAAATAAAACAATTTACACCACCTTTGCATTTAAAGACATAAAACAAAATCAGCACAAAAAATAAACAAACAAACAAACAAATAAAGAAAGGGAGTAATACATGAAAGGCCATCACAGTTATGTATGCAATAGTAAAGCCTGAAAAAAAAAAGAAAAAAAAACTTAAAAGGCTTTGAACTTGTGACCTGTGATGCTGCCACAATGTTCTGCCTACTGAGCTATCAAGCCAACTGGAAGTTCATTTTCCTCAACAAAAATGAATAGAGGATAATTATATCATGTATCTGAGCTATTCTTTAAAAATATTTACTATTCATTGAAAGTTTTTTCCAGGCTTTGTTTTTTGCTACTGCTTAAAGGGCCCTGGTCAGCCACACCTTTGTTTTGGTTTACAGGCAAGAGTTTGGCTGTTAGGTTTAATTTGGAGCATGTTGAAACAAAGGAAACCACTGTGAAACTACTAAAAGATAATTAAACACACTTTCAGGAACACAA